GATGTCATCGTCTGCAGCTTTGTCGGCGCCCAAGACAAAAAGCCAACGAACCAAAGGAATCCTGCGCGTATTTCACGCACATATGAAGGGGTTTTTTATGTTTTTTTTTTTTTTTTTGTATTGGGAGTCGGAGTAGATGGGAATGCAAATGCCGGCGAGTCCCACAAATCAGCCGGAGGGTATCAAAAGTTTTGCCTTTGTGTTGATGTGTTTATTTATGTTGCCTTTCTTCCGCATTAACTGATTTGCAGCGAGCATTTCGACAATGTCAGAGTGTCTTTGGCTTGGCTGAAAATCGTTTCCTTTTGCTTAGAATGTTGCGTGTGTGCGTGGGTCTACAACTAGAGCCTAATTTCAATTTAAGTTGTTTTATTTATACCTCATTTGTGAGCTATACTCGCTAAGTGTTGAGGCCTCGCTCAATCGAAACAAATCATAAAAAACATTTATTTATTTATGCATTTTTGGCTATGAAATTGGCATCTTGGGAACTCTAGACTCAAATTACCTTTCTAGTAAATATAGTAAAAATTCTATCCAGTTATACTTTTCTTGCATTGATTCCCTAATTTAATTAAAATAAAGAGCATTAAAAAAATTTAGTTATTATTAGAATTAAAAATTATATTTTATAGATATATTTTTGGTTCTTAACAATTGGAATAAAAAAACTTTACATATAAACTTTATATTTGTATTGGTGAAAGTGTCCGATATAGAAATATATATAATATATTGCTAAGTAGAGTCTTGCACTTCTCCTTGAACCCAAGTCTAAAATTATGCAGAAATATCTATTACTTGATACAGGTAAAACAATTTGCTGGAAAAGTGCTCTGGACTAGCTCTCTGCAAAGTCCATTCCATGTCAGCAGCTTATTTCCATGCTCAAACCGGATCCTTCGACTCGTTTCGACCCGTTGCTGTGTGTGTGTGCGGGTGTGTATGTGTGTGTGTACGAAGGCTTTTTGTCTCTATTAAATTAATCGACGCTCATTTTTCCAACTTAACAAAACGCAGTGAAAAAAAAAATATAAACGATAAAACATTTGCCGGCTGTCAGGGCTGCCGCATACATTTGCCAGTGTTGCCCCAACTCCATTTTACATTTGTTCTTTGTTTTTTTTTTCGGTTTTTATAATTTTTTTTTATTTTGCTTTTAAGTAGCACTATTTTTTAAGGATTCTGTTTAGGGTGCTGCCCGACCCGCTCCGCTCGCCTCGCATCTAAAACAATTTTATTTTCTGTGCGTTTTTCATGCTTATCAAATACAAAACAAACGCACACGAGGGTTGACACTGGCTTTTTGGGGGAGGCGGGCCGTGTGGGCTTATTGCGGTTTTCTGAGCGTTGCTTTCGCTGGCATTTATGTTTCATTTGGCATTTTTGATACGTTTTATTTATTTACTTTTTTTTTTTAATTTTTTTGTCGGCTTCTGTTTCGGGCGTCACATTTAAAGTGACATTTCAATCAATCAGGCAGCTCTGCAAGCGAGCTGTACCCAAATCCGGCAGCTATTAAATGCTCAATTTATTGCCAGCCATAGATTGTCCGATTAGAAGCTCGAATAGGAAACAATGATATGAAATGAGGGGTGAAAAATGTATGCTCTACTTGATAGACTCGAGTTTGAACAAGGCTGGGGCTTGGCTTGGTTGAATCTTCAGATTCGTATGTATTGAATTGATGTGCTTACAGGGTATTCGTCTAGTCGCGCTGCTCTCTAGACTCACTCGTTACTAGTTATGATTGTTGGGCAGCGTCCGGCTGATTGATCCCCACTGAATGCGCTGGCCTCGGCAAGCAGCTTTAGACAAATATACATATTACTAGCAACTGACCTCTGGCTTTTGGACTCGTCCGGCTCGAGCGGTCGTCGGAGTTGCTCAACTTTTCATATCTAACAAACTACGATAATACAAAATAACAGACATTTATCTAAACGTTTAGCCATTTATTAGCGCCGAGAGTTCAAGTCCAGAGAAATGCCACACAAAACCCCTAGCAGAAAGTAAAAGTATCGACCCATTAGTGTGCGTGTGAGGGTGTAAAAAAATATGTAAATATCATAGCATGTGACACACTAGATACCCTGTAATTTACTTAATATTTGTCCAAGTAGTGAATTAATTAGGCATTTTTCAGCACTTTTTATTGCCTTAGTCAAGAGTTCTTTAGATTTAGAGTAGCAGTTTCAAGAGTATCTCAATTCGAAAAGCCTTAGATCAGAGCCTCAGCTTGAGTTTGACATTTGTCTAGCCAAATTCCTAATATGTTGCACAGATGCCGCTGTCGATGATACCCCTTGCTGACCCATTCCTAATGGGTGCTGGGTATAAGTAAAAAGAAACGAAACGAAACGTATAAAACTAATGAAATCCTTATTAATATGCTTTGGACCTTTGCTGTTTGTTTGGTGCCCTTGTGGCGTCACCATCGTCGTCGTTGTCGACCCAACCAAATTGAATATGCAATGAATTGTAAAACGCAAAAGTTTTGCATAAAACAAAAAACACAAATAAAATAAAATAAAAACACAGAGAGCGAGAGTGAGAGAAAATATAAAACATATTTGAGCCAAAGAGAAGCTACTCAACAAATGGTCAGCCCGAAAAAAAGAAACGGAAAAAAATCTACGCACATTTTTCAGCGCATATTATGTAATTTTTCACATTTTTCCAACGACCCATCGAAATGCTCCACTCTTCCTGCTCCTGTCCTTGCCCACTGAGCTGACTTCCTTCGCTCTACATAGATAAATTTTATAGCTTTTGATATTTTGGCTCTGCTTGGCGCTGTGTCCACTTTGACTACTCGCAGCAGCATGAAATTTGTCCAATCAGCTGCCTGCACTCATGCGATTGGCTGCCCGCTTCATATTCTGGCACCGAAATCGAATCCCCGCCGTACATAGCATGGCCCAGCCCAGTCCCTCCCCTTATGAGTGCGTGCCACTCTCTCTCTTATATGTGTGTGTGTGCGTGTGTCTCGTATGTGTGTGTGTGTGGCCAAGTATTGATATCTGATGCGTATTCAATAGCATTCGACGCGCGCATTCATATGGGGGGTGGAAAATTTCACTCAAAGCAACCCTTTCGCTTGCCGTTGTCATGTGTGTGTGTGTGTGAGTGGGGAAATTAAATTTAAAAAAAAAACTTTGTGATCAGGTAGTTTCTGTTGCTATATCAGTTTGCGTTATTAGAGAAAAACTTTATTGCTATTTGTCATTTAGAAGTAAGAAATTGAAATCTGAGTAGAAAGGAAAAATCATCAGAAATATGTCATATTGCAGTCTGTGGAACTGGCCAAATATGTGATATAGATTATTATAGATAGTATGGAACTTCTATAAACTTTTATATTGAGTCATAATACAAAATCTAGTATAAGAGCCTCTCATATCCTCTCAAGATTTTTCAGTTTTGAGCAAAACAAACTTAGCTGCTAAAGTATTCTTTGCTCCCCATTAAAAAACTCGCCTATGTCTGATGATATATAATTATTATTATTATTATTATTATTATTGTTGTTATTATTAGTATTTTTTTGTTTGCTGTTAACAAAAGGGTATGTCTTTTAAATGAAGGGCAGCTGTAAATGGAGAGCGATGCCAATAAAAATACTTATACTTCATTAATAAACAATTATGTGTTGCGTTATTGCGCGCTAAGCGCAACGAATTAATGGCCGTTGTCGGCTTCAATAATTTTAATGGGCTCCATGGTCGATCCCTAAAACCTGCCACCCGCAACCTACTCTCCTCCCTCGCCAGCTCGCCAGCCTGCTCGCCCAGTGCTTTGCAGGATGCCATTAATGCCCATTAAAATGCCAAAGTGTGCGCCATACAAAGAAGCGCCACAATGTAACGCCCATAAATTACGGGAGCACAGCCAAAGAGTAAGCAAAATTCCAAAAAAAAATATATGTAAAAAAACCAAAATAAAAACAAAAAAATTATTAACGCTTCAAAGGCGTGTGTGTGCGGGTGTGTGTAAATATTTTGCAAGTCTCTGCAAACAGCGCGACAGCAAAAACTATAAACGGCTTTTGGTTGGCTGCTAATACATTACACTGGCTAACAAGACATTAGTTTTTATTTGTTTTTTTTTTCCTACATGTCTTGAAATTGGCCAGTTCAAAGAATCATTATCATTAAATATATTTATATATCTTAGGCCAATATAGCACACCAAGTTCTGCTTCAATTTTGTTGACTAGTGTCATCAGAGTAAGCAATAAATGTGCTCTTATTTTATATATATATATATATATGTAGTTTGTTAAAGGGTATAATGCGTGTGCTTGTTCTTGTGTGGGTGCCTGTGCGTGGGGCAGGCTGTAGGTCGTGGCACATAAAATTTATGTGCCGCAAAAAGGACATAAGAACCGAAAATCAACCGACAGCTGAGCAGCTGAGCAACTGAGCAACTGAGTATCAATGCAATCATGTTGAAACCTCAAAACCCATTTTCTCTTCTGTAATCTAACTACTAAGGGCGCTCTCTCTCTCTCTCATTACCATCATGAGTTAGAGATGAGCGTGACTCGTACTGCTGCAAGACTTATATATTTGGATTATGTGACCGCTGCTTTACTTAAGCGAAAAGTAAACGAGTATTAATAATAGTAATAAGAACATTAAAGAAAAATATTTAATATAATAAATAATAAAAAATATAAGAATTTAGAAAATGTAGAAAACATCATTAATATTATTCACTAAAAAAAATTTAACTTAAATAAATAAAATGAAGAAATAATATAATAAAATAATATTTATTTAAAATAATAAATATTACAAAAATAAATGATGTTCTTTTTATCATATATATTTTTATTACATTTACAATTTATTACATATTTTTAGTTTATTTATCAAAATAATTATTGTCGTAATATATATATTCACAAATAAATATATAATAAAATATATATTTAATATATGTATGTGCGGTATGTGCGAGTGCGGTTCACCGCGGGCCATGGACAAAGGGCGCACCTCTACAAAGCCTGGACTCGTTTCCATGTAGTCGTTCAGCACTCGCGTCATATTTGGATGCATCTGTGCATCGTAGAAGACCACCTTTCCGGCGCCCAGCAGACGCATCAGTTCCAGCCATTCAATTAGCCGCCAAGACAAGTCTTTATAGATAAAGTCCATGGCCTTTACGCAGACCATAAAACGCAATGGTTTCTTCTGTAGCTGCGTGCTATTGTTTTGCTTGGATTGCTGTTGAGGAGGATATGTTACAGCTGTACTCGCCTCGTCCGGTTCGTAAACAACGCGCACCAGATTCCTGGCCTTGTCGCAGCGCTTCGTTACCAACGAGACCATTTCGGGCGCCTCCTGCGCCTTGGTGTCGTTTGTTTTCGGCAAGCAGCAGCTGAGGAGCGTGGGATAGACCATGGTCGAGCCGCCGCCCCAGATCCAAATTATCTTGTAGTCTGTCACATTCACTACAACGGGCTCGATGCGATTCCTGAACCAGAGCTGACAAAAGGTTTCCGGATGCTTTACAACGTCACGCTTGCCATAGTGATTGATCATGGTTAGCACGCGGACCAGCGGCGCCTCGATCATCTTCTCTCTGTTGTCGTAGTACGCACCAAAGATGTGATAAGTGAGGTTAGCATTGTTCAAGGTTTGCCAATAGTCGTTGCTGAAATCGATGCCCAATGCAGCAGGCACTTTGCCGCATTTCGGCTCGCCTAGCGGTCGACGGTGCAGCTCCTCGAGCGGAAATGAGGGCATCTCCTTTCGTATCAGAGCCAGTCGCTGCTCCCAGCTGGGCTCTGGAACATGGCTCAGTTCAATTACTTAATTAAAGATCATGACATTGTGACCTACCGTCGCTTTTGTCCACTAGCAGCTCATCGATGAAAACCATTGACTGTTCCGGAATATCCTCAACGGAATTGTTGTAGCCGAAGAGCACGAGCACGATGAACAGCTTTATGGCGATGATCACGAATAGTATTTTGATTAGGCGCACATGACTCGCCTGCATATTGCGCTCAGTTAATGTCCACTTAGTCCGTTAGCTGTTGGATAGATGCGAACTGTCTGGCTCCTTAGTCAATTGACGCTCAACGTTCGATGTTTGACCTACGACAGCTACTTCTGAACTACGGTCGGCAGCTCCGCTCGGATCACGGTTAACTCTCAACCAAGCTAACTTTTGCAGCGCTTACGTTGACATAGTTGTCTTAACGTAATATTTGATAAAACTGTTTTGTGTTGGGCACAAGTAAACACACCAACTGCACACTAATAGATATGCTCTTGTTTTTTTTATTTTTAATTTTTTTTTTTTTTTTTTTTTTTTTTTTTTTTTTTTACAAATCCCCTGGATATGATCTAATAAACGGCAGAGTCCTTAGAGCACTGCCTGACTCCACCATAGACTACATAACTATGGTGTACAACGCCATGCTCCGCATCCGGCACTTTCCAGCCTGCTGGAAGCGCGCCGTGATTGTGATGATTCCTAAGCCTGGCAAACCCGTGGGAGAAATTGAGTCGTACAGACCAATTAGCCTGTTGCCAGTACTCTCCAAAATATTCGAAAGAATATTTCTGGACCGAGTACTGACACATCTGGGACGCCAGGAGGCCATTCCAAACCATCAGTTTGGCTTCAGGAGACAGCATGGAACACCGGAACAGGTTCACAGAGTTGTGCACCATATCCTTGGAGCCTTTGAAGAAAAGATGTACTGCTCTGCCGTCTTTTTAGACATCAAACAGGCGTTTGATCGAGTTTGGCACCTGGGACTGCTGCAGAAAGTGAGGACCACCCTTCCAGCCCCATTTTTCGCGTTGCTATCCTCATACCTTATTGGAAGAACCTTCCAAGTGTCAAGGGGGCAAGCAGTATCCTTGACTAGACCAATTATGGCTGGAGTACCACAGGGTAGTGTTCTAGGCCCAACACTTTATACTTTATTCACAGGAGATATGCCAACTCCCGAGCCAAATATAGGAAGTACAGATGCAGTACTCATAGCGACCTATGCAGATGACACCGCCATCTTATCACGTCACGTATCTGCGCAAGAAGCTTCAGACTCACTACAAAAATATCTGGACTCTTTCGGACGCTGGGCAAAACGGTGGTGTATCACCATTAATGCACAAAAGTCTGTACATACTACCTTCGCCACTAGAAGAGGAGATTGCCCAAGCGTTGCATTGGGGCCCACTATTCCCAAAGCCTCAAAAGTAAAGTACCTTGGTATCACTCTTGACAGAAGGCTGACTTTTAAAGCGCACATAAGTCAAGTAACCTCAAAATGCAAAAGCAAGCTAAAAACCCTCGACTGGATGCTGAGAGCTTCAAGCAAGTTGTCTTACAGCAGCAAGGCCGCCATCTACAAGGCAATAGTTGTCCCAACCTTCGTATATGGTATCTCTCTATGGGGCTCCTCGGCGAAGACTACAAGGAACAAAATTCAGACCCTGCAGAATAAAGCACTACGCAGATGGACTGGAGCCAGCTGGTTTGTAAGAAACTCAGTCTTACATAGGGATTTAGCAATTCCCACAGTTGCTGAACTCATTGGGCGACACAGTTCAAGATACGCGGACAGACTTGCAGCGCATCCTAACCATCTCGCAAGCAACCTGGCTATAAAGAACAATAGGCGAAGACTGAAGAGATTGCATCCTCTAGACAATATTAGAACTAATTAAGATAGTAGCTACAAGTGCAGAATAATTGGCATATCTGCCCTCCCATTAGTTAAGGTTTAGAGCTAAATGCGCTATAGAGTCTAAGACAATAAGCTGCAACAAAATAAAGAAATAAAAAAAAAAAAAAAAAAAAAAAAAAAAATAAATATTACAAAAATAAATGATGTTCTTTTTATCATATATATTTTTATTACATTTACAATTTATTACATATTTTTAGTTTATTTATCAAAATAATTATTGTCGTAATATATATATTCACAAATAAATATATAATAAAATATATATTTAATATATGTATGTCAATCAAGATGTATTGAAGAGAGTCGTATAGGATATATGCATAAGTAAAGCTCCCTAAACTATAAGAAAATTTCATTCATTTAATGTTAATAACTTAAAAATATTCTTAAATATCTTTTATATTTCTTCTTTTAAGTCTGAATGTGTATATAAATATTATAATAATTTTTGTTATATATTATGCGCTCAACATTTCATTTCTAAAGACTTTACGTCTGAGTGACTATAGATTTATCGATTCTCTAAATATTTAAAGGCAATATCGTTCAAGGCTTGACTTCCTGCTCTATCACTCAATTTTGATCTTAAAACTTTACACTTTTCACAAGACTTAGAACTATCGATTCTCTGAATATTTGAAAAGCATATCGTCTACATTAGCCTTAACTTCCTGCTCTTTCCTATGCTAATGTTAATGTTCGTGTCGTTTGCTCTTTATGTGTAGTTAGTCGCCCGCCCGCGTCTCTGTTTGGAGCATGTTTGCTGCGGCGGCTCAGAATAATTTTATAGCATATTTTTCGGCTGTTTTTATATTTATTACGTTGGGGAGTTTTCATTGTTACGCATCGGTCGTTTTGCCCAGCGTCAAGAAACTAGGCGACAGAATTGTGTCTTGCAAGAGGCTCAAATGAAGCCGCACACACACAGCCACCACCCCCATCAGCATCGCCACCCAGCACCACCCAAATGACACAGACACATACATACATCGGGCTCGGTGTTTGTTTTAGCTTAAATTAACAAATGTGCTTTTGTGTGATAATTATAATTTTACATTACCTTTTGGTAATTGTTCAACGCCCGAACGATGCCTGAATTTGTGTGCGTGGGTGACTGTGTGTGTGTTGTTTGTGAGTTGGGCATCTGCCTTGAGCAGTGACTGGGAGCAGGTAAGGTGTTAAAAAGACGTAAATAAGATGATGATGTTTCAGGCAGCGTTGTTAGTGTGACGGCTGTCGTTATAAGTTTACCCACCTCAGCCACAGTCGCAGCTCGCTCCACTATGCACCCTCTGACTGCCGCTACCCCTACTGCCGGCCCATTCAGTCAACCCCAACGGAGGAGTTGTCTGTGTGTGTGTGTGACATATTGGCAATTTGATCATGTTACGTGTATGTCTTTCAGCGAGTGTGTGTCCGTGTGTGTGTGTGTGTGTTACGCATTAATGGCACAAAATTTTTAATGATGTGCTACGTGTTAAGTCATCTCCAGAGTGTAGCAAAAAGCCAAGCCTAATAACCAGAGCAACAACAACAGCAGCCGCAGCAGCAGCAGCATTGAGTGCGACTCGCACATTGTTAAGGTAATATTCGTAAGCAACAAAATTGGTAATTTTCAGAATATGTTTTGGCAACCATGCCACATGCCCCATGCTACATCAATCCCTAACCAGGCGCCGTTTGCCCATTTATAAAATATATAAAATTGTAATAATTAAAATTATGCTTTTGCTGCGGCCGCCTAAACAGCACGAACGAGTAACGAGTATTTCATTAGGACGCACTAAAAGCTCTTTCTCAGCCACGTTGCCACAACGTCTCGTTCTGGCCTAATCATAAAATAGTGTATCACAGTGTACTTGGTAACTTTGTGCTGCCGTTGTCGCTCCTGTAATGGGCTTTTTGGTTAATTAGAAATTTTATGTGGACAGCGCTGTTGAATGCCATTTATACTTATACCTCTATATATACATATATATATATAGAACTATATATATAGCACTTTATAATAAGCATAAGTGCTGCGGCAAATGCATTTCTTCTTTATGCTAATATACTTTGTATATAAACTCCCAAAGCAATGTGACTTCTTTTTATGTCGAACTATTTGAATATATGTCCGAAAGACTTGATTTTATTATTAACATTTAAAAAATATATAGCTTACTGAATTGTAATAAATATATATTTATATATATAAATATTAATATGTTTTTATCTTACAATTTATTTTATATAAATTTTAATTTATATAAATTAACATTTTTTATTAAACTGCGGCAGTTGGCTCAATGGGTTTATATAGAAATTTGGACATGGCTCATATTGCCATACAGCGCTCGACCTGGTGAAGCAGATATTTGCATTCTCAATCATCTCAATTAATCAATATTGATTTGGTCTTAGTTCGAGCTTACAAGCTAACCACTTTAGCTCAAGTCCGATAGTGTACAAATAAGCCTAATCAACTCAAATTGAACGCTTGCAGCTGTGCCAGTAAAATTCTATAAATTCTGTGCCAGCAAATATTCTATATTCTATAATCATATAATTGACCAAATTTTTGATAAATAGAAAACCTCTTGTATTAGCTATCTTTACTTTCATCGCAGATTTATACTCTCTACTCTCACTAGATTTAGTGGCAATTCGTATCAGAATTTCTATTACTTCTGTTCCTATATTAACTTACATTTAAATATAAATTCGTGCTGGCCAACATATGCATTCTTATGCAGCTGAGATCAGGCGGTATGTGACCTTTTTTCGTTGCGATGTCAATAGGAAAAGAGATGAGGACAAAAATGTAGCAAAATTGTTGAATTATTTGCAAGTTTTGTACAAATTAACTTTATGACCGCTGGCTAAATACAGTCAAACATAGCCCAGGTACAATGTGTATATAATACACAAAGCATAACAAGGCAAACACAAAATGCAGAGCGCAAAAAAAGAACCAAGAAAAACCTGAGGACAACAATAAACAAAAAAAAAAATAGAAAAAAGATGACTGTCACTGAATGAAGAGTGAAATGCAGGCAAAAGCTAGCCATGTGTATACATATAAACGTATATATATATATATATATATATATAGATTGTAGATATATATGTAGTAGAGATTGTAAACATTGTTTCCGCTTCATTGTTGGGCAACTGATGCTGTGGACGAACCAAGCAACTGTCAGTGGGCATTGCAATGGGCCCGACAATGACGAGCACGATGACGCCTTAACGCCGCAGCAGCCGAGATTCAAACCGTCAGCCGGTTAGTCAGCCGGCCCGACCAATCAGCCACCCAATCAGACTAACAAGCTGCAGGCCAAGCCAAGCCAGGGCAAGCCAAGCCAAGCCAAGCCAGGCCACGCCAGGCCAAGCCAAG